ACTGTTATCACATATTTCAAACCTGCTAATTCAAAGGGATGGGAAAAGCTTCAAATCAACGTAGTTTTCAAAAACCCATTTCCAGGTAAATACCGCAATTCAAAGGGCAGGGCAGAATAATTTTTAAAAAGCAAACTATCCATTACAGTAGATGTGGCATGTAATAGTTTATACCTTCTTTAGATCCCATGCATCATCACATCAGAGTGATAACCTCTTTGGAAATAGTTCATTTTGGAAATATTCCCCATAACATATTTTTTAAAAACGGTTGCTTGTAATGAATTAAAATAAAGAAAAGTGTGACATATAACATATATCTTATGCTGGACTAGTAAAGTCCCTAGGTATTTCATTTTGTTGTCTTTTCAATGATTGCCCAATTGAATCAATTAATTGTTATGCACTGTCAGCATAAAACTGATCATTATTTAATAAAATATCTGCTTATTTTTAAGTCTCAAATCACTAATCATTTCTTTGTGTTTTACTATTTTTCAATTTCTTCCGCTAAATTAAGCTGAATGATACATTGAAATAAATAAATATTCCTAATGTTTTGTCTTGAAAGGCTTAGCACGTTATCTCCTTACATTGTGAAGTGGGATTTCCTGATGAGAAAAAACCTTTCACAAAATGTTTCATTATTATCTTGTCTTTTAATAAAACTTTTATATGTTGATATTCTTAATTTTATCTTTATTATCTTTTTGTCATAAGTCTAGAATGGAAGTGCAGGGCTATCTATTAACCTGATAAAGATAAGATACTTATCTTTCCAGCTCTGGAAAAATTTCAAAATCAATAATTTATAGTAGCAATATTTACCTTTAGCAATCACCATTCTCAGTAGGCAGTCACCACTGTATGATTTCACAAGATATTGGCGATACAAACTGAAGTTCAAAACAATACAAGCATAAATAATATGAAAATGTGAAGCTCTTCTGAATTTTGGGCATTTTAGAATTATTTAAAAAATTCTGGAGCTGCAAATCTTGAATCACAGTTGTTAAATTTTTTTTAATCTACTTTTGATGCTTTAGTCCCAGCATTCTATCTGCAACACTAGTGTGTCATATTTACTACAGTATAAAAAGCATTCTAATAGGGCCTTGGCTTTGTTGCAAACTGCTAGTCCCCTGAGCCCATCATATATTTTGACAGGAAACAACCAAAATAATCAAAGAACTATACTTTTTACAATAATTCCAATCAACTGTATATTTCTGATATTTTCAGAAGTACAGATTAATATTTTAAACTTCTTTAAAATTACTTTCATATTTTTTAGTTTTCCAACATTTATGATACAGATTGCAAAAATTGCTTATTTGGGGTTAAATAGCCAAATTCCAGTAATAAAATATTTTCTTGTCAGCAGCTAAAGAAGGAAGAAGACGTACCCAGATCTTTTAAAAATTCCCCAAAGACTTTAAGGGAATGAGCATAATTAGTTGTACAATACGCCTGAATGTTTTAGAAAGCTGAATTGTCCAGAATAAGCAAACATGAGTGTAGCATATTATTAAATCACGTCCACTTGGCAGAAAAACTAAACAAATCATGAATCTTCCATCCTTGGTTTGTTTAGCATTCTTTCCAAACCAGCATCCCTGGTTTGTTTCTCAATTAACAAGTCAGAATAAAACCAGATAAATTTAAAAGTCTATCTTATCATGACTAAAGTGTTCCATCGTTTTTTCAAGAATTTAAATTCGGGTTGTTTCTCCACAAGACTTGCTGCCAGAGATATGGAAACAAAATCAGGAACAACCAGCAGCAGCAAAGCAAGTCAGACCATTTTCTTATGCATCTATTTTCTGTTTCCATGGAAATGAAAAGACACAGGAAAAAATGATAAGAACGATATCCAGTTTTTTCCTATCTCAAATGGCCTTGCTATACAAACATTGAGGGGGGAGCCACTGAAAGGAACAAGAAGGAATGACTAAGGATATGGTGTCATATTTCAGCAGAAAACTGACACAGAGTACAAAACACAGCTACTGAACAATTTCCACAATCACTCAAGAAGGGATTCTCAAACTGTGGATTGTACCTCTTCAAAAAGGTGTGGCTGGTTACATGCGCTTCCACTCTGCTGGTACTGGGCTGGGCCAAGTGTACTGGGCTTGCTTGACAGCTTTTGTGACACAAAAGGAGCTGTTACCATAGCACAAGGTCAGTGAAGAAAGGCCCAGTCCTGAGAGCAAATTCTGATAGTAATCCAGTTCTAATTGGAAAGCCTGGCTTGCCCAGACACACCGATCACTGCCGAAATACACCCCTGCTTCACCAGGAACAGCCAACAGCTGTCTTGAACAGAAGTTTTGTCAGAGAGCATGTTCCAAGAGTTTTTGTTATGGGAGAGGAGGGTCACACAAATTCATTTCTTATTTTAGGAAATTGTGACACCACAAAATTTGAGGATCCTTGACTTAGGAATTTATAGATTTCAGAGCTGCGGTGTTTAGGATCTCTATTTGCCAACAAGAAGGTGTGAAGAACTCTGCAAGAACTTCTATAACAGATGCTAAGAGAGAGCAGATATTACAATTTGATTGCACATATACTCTATTGCTACTGATAAAACTCACAGATTGTGTACGAAGAGTCCCAAATCCAGTCCCCAGTTTTTTATTTATAGGCTCTCAGATGAGGGATTGAGAAAGTCTACTGTCTTAGGCCATGGAGACCTGTTATCAAATCAAATCATAAACATACTAATGACGTAGTTCCAAATATGCCATTCTTATAGGTTAATAAGTATTCAAATATTTTTTTCTAATTTCTTTAGAAGAAAATGTTCTCTTTTCAATTATGCTATTACATCCAATTGCAATAATCTTTAGGAGACATATTTAAAAAATTAGATACACAAGTATACCTATTTTTGATCTGTTAGATTTTCATCATAACCAATTAAGCCTTTTCCATTTAATATCTAGGCTGTCTCTGTTGTTTATTCTTCATTAGTTGCTTATTGAAAAAGTTGCAAAGAGGATGTTAACCGAACAATAATTAGAAAAAAGAGGGCACACTTTTTCCCTTCAATTTGACTTGTTCCCCAACGATAAGAAGCATCTGTATTATACAGTACATGTTCAGATATGTTTGTTGCCTGAAAAAAGAAATGGTAGGTGCGGAAAAAAAATATCAAGTTTTAATTTCTGCTGTCTAACTTTCCTGAAAGTTGAATGACAAAGGAGAAGAGTAACACAGAATGAGGCAGAAAGAAGGTGTCAGGAGTTGCTTCTGGTCTTTATACTAGCTGCCTACATTCCCTTCTGAATCACTTGTAGAAGCAACTCCTAGATGGAGCTCTGTATGTAAAAGTTCATGACCCTAGAATACATGATGTAGTAAATTAGCTTTTACTCTTCTTAAGGTCTCTATCCTTACTAGTATAAATTAGAACCAAGACCTTTGCACTATATCTTCATCAGGGATAGTTATTACACAACTGTTTGAAGTGGTATGTAAGTTTAAATGCCATTGCTATTGCTATTCTACTGTACTTCTATTTTCATACATATATATATCCTTGTTATTTGTAAGTCCCCTGAAATAATTTGTCACGCAGTTATTTAGACACCTCTTATCACAATAATGAAATTATCGTAATAATTGAAGTGGGATGATATAGACAGTTTTATAACTGAGCAGAATGCTCAGAATCTGCACCCCTTAAAAAAAACTAACTATTTTAACATTGACTCCTGAGAAAAGGCTCTGATGCTGCCACAAAAGGGATAGTAGATGAAAGTCAGTAAACCATCTCAATTTATTATTTCCCCCATTAGACAAATCATTACCGCTACGAAATTGTGCTAAAAATAAAAACTAACATCATTTCAACAATATCCAACTTGTGAAAACTATTTATATGATATTCATATATCAGGAATGTTTATGTGACTAATAGAGACATGGAATATGCTAGCTTATTTATCATCATGAAATAAAATTGTATTAAACCCAGAAAATATAGAAAGGTGATAATTCAAATAAAGCAAAAAAGAAGTAAAGCTAATGCTGAAAGAGATTGTTCTCGGATTAATTCTAAATAAACTGTATTCCCTGTCATCAGCCGTATCCAGGATTTAATGAATTATTTAATAATAAAATACTATCTCCAAACTTAATGAAATACTGGAAAAGCAAAAACAAATTCTTCATTTGTGGCAAAACTAGTCTAACCTCCCCTGATGGAGTAGCCTCAGCATGTGCTGGGATACTGATCTCTAACTGTTTCTAAACATTGATGCATTCATTTTATCTAAGCAGCTGCTGAATTATATTATACATGTATGTAATGTAGTCATAAATATCAAATAATTCATCTATACAACCAATTCAAAACAATCTGACAAGTTATATAGATATGTAGTAAGTTTGTGTAATGGTTCAGTTTTGAGGGCAAAAAGAATACTACTTTGGAGCATGTGTGTAGTAACTCCTCTTTAAAGCAGCCACCGTATTGCTGATTACAGGGTAATCAGATGGCCCTCTGCAGCACTATCCTAGGAAAAAGATACATTTAAAAATTTGCAGACAAGTGTTGCATGTGTGTTTCCATAGCCTTTGATTACAAAGTGCTGCACAGTTTTAAGACATAAGCTAAAGAAAAGAGGGAAATGACAACAATACCTCTACACATAGAATAAAAGTCCACCTGAAACAAACGCAGAGGATATACAGAACTCGCAAATACCTATGCACAATTTTTAATAGCGTGAATTATAGCCATAACCATGAAAATGTCTTTATGTATCAAGAGTAGGAAATGTACAATTTATTTAAATGTTCAAATAATTAGTCTTATAACAAAAATACTGAGAAAAGGCAAATTTAATATTACAGCTCATGAAACACCACAACACTTGTTTGAGTTTTCCTTAGATTATTCTAAAAAAAATAAAACTTTAAAAAATATGGAAATTATTTAGTTATAAATCAACAGATTCTTGGATGGCTTACACAACCATTATACTTACTTGAATCCTCCCATTGGAGCAGATGTAGTTTCCAAGCTGAGTAATACAGAAACCCCAAGACCAGAAAGAGGCAGAGAGCAAGTAGCACGTTACGCATAAACACCAGCAGTCCCATCTTCATATGGAATAGCTCTTCTATAAAATCTGGGTAAAAGAAAAGGTGTATTCTCAAGTTGGTTTATAAGGCATAAGGTTAAGATGTTTGACTAGGACTGGAGAGACCAAGGTTCTGGTCTCACCTGCTGACTTTGAACAAGCTACTTTCATTTAACCCAGCCACCTTTGCATGGATGTTGTTATGGGGAACAACTGGAGGAAAGAATCTTATGTAGGTCAACTTGAGTTCCTGGATAAAAGTTGGGATATACAGTAATTCTAGCAAAGAAATTAAGTAAAAAACCAAGGATGTATAAGTTATCTAAGCATGCTCCATTCCCCACAAATATAATATCCAGATATTCTTATTCATGATACCTGAGTGGAAGTAAATTTTGTGAAAAGAACAGGATACATTTCTGAGTAATTTGCTGCTTTTCCAAACATGATTCAGAAATGCGGCTGCTAGTTGTCATTAGAATGATTAATCTGAAGAACTTGTTCACTATTGAACTGTTTCTCAAGAACATATTATTTGGTTATTTAAAACAATACCCAAAGTATTGTCATGCCAAAAAATATTTCACAGAAATGACACTGGAAAATACAGTATAACCAATACCTCTTAATCATATACATTTATATAAATTATATAAATAATTACTTAAGCATAATTTATAACATATAACATATGTGATGTTATAACTTTATGTTATAACAACCCATTTTTCCTCTACTGTAAATATACCGTAGTATGTATTAAGGTGATCCACATTTTCTGGAATAGTAACAATAGGATAAGTACTATAAACTAATGTGAAGCTATATTGACTTGTACGATGGTTGCAAAGTGATTCTCATTAGATCCTGGATAATTAGTATTATATTGCTTGTGTCATGATATAGCAAGGATACTTGCTTGCTGATATGGAAGATGCAAATCTGCTATTCTAGAATGGACTACTAACTTAATGCATGAGTCACTGGTTAAATTTTGTAAGAATCACAAGGATGAATATTTTGATGGAATTGTTTATTTGCATTATTTTGGACCAGCAACATACAAACCTAGATCAAGAGACAGAACTAAGCCACAAGCTTAGCCACATCCTGCCTTTCTCTATCCTCCCTTTAGCAAGAGCAGTTTGATTCAACAATCAGGATAGAGCTGGAAGGACCTTGGAAGTCTTCTAGTCCAACCCCCTGCTCAAGCAGGAGACCCTACACCAGGGCTGGCCCATGGGCCGGATGCGTCACATAAAAGCTGTGCCCACCCCAGCTCCGGCAAGGGGGAAAAAGTCGCAATATGTCGCAACATGTCATGTGACGTGGCAAATTTGACACCCCTGCCCTACATCATTTAGATAGGTGGTTGTCCAGTCTTTTCTTAAAAACCTCCAGTGATGAAGCACCCACAACTTCTGAAGGCAAGTGGTTCTACTAATTAATTGTTCTCACTGTTAGGAAGTTTCTCTTTAATTCCAGGTTGCTTCTCTCTTTGGTTAGTGTCCATCTATTGTTTCTCGTCTTGCCTTCTGGTGCTTTGGAAAATAAGCTGACCCCCTCCTCTTTGTGGCAATCCCTCAAATACTGGAATACTGCTATCATGTCATCCCTAGTCCTTCTTTTCTCTAGACTGGCTATATCCAATTCCTGCAACCATTCTTCATATGTTTTTGTCTCTAGGCCTTTAATTATCTTAGCTGCTCTTTGTACTTTTTGCACTCTCAACAACTTTTTTATAATGTGGTGACCAAAACTGGATGCAGTACAGGTAGTCTTCAACTTACAACAGTTCATTTAGTGACCATTGAAAGTTACAACGGCATTGAAAAAAGTGACTTATGACCATTTTTCACACTTATGACCATTACATCGTCCCACAGTCACCTGATTTACATTCAGATGCTTTGCAAGTGGTTCTTATTTATGACAGTTGCAGTGTCCTGGCATCATGTGACCTTTTGCAACCTTCTGACAAGCAAAGTCAATAGGGAAGTCAGATTCACTCAACAACTGTGTTACTAATTTAACAACTGCAGTGATTCACTGAACAAATGTGGCAAGAAAAGTCGTAAAATGGGACAAAACTCAAGAAACAAATTTCTCACTTAGCTTAATTGTGGTCATAAGTATTCCAGGTGTGGACTTACTAAAGATTTATAAAGCGGTATTTAGATAACTATTTCCTGTTTTGATCCAACACCATTCTAGAAAACTATCTTAAAGTCAGCAAACCACAAAAATCCTAAAAGAAGAATTCATGGCTAAATGCACACAAATCAATGAAAGGACAGCAAGAAGTGGAAGCACTCAATCCTGTTTCCAGTTCACTATCCCCTGCAGCGAAACACTGTCTGAGATTATATCTTGTAAAAGTCCATATTAAAATCACCAGGGTGGGTATGATCTATTCTTCATTGTGTCCAATTTAGTTTCACTATTTTATTAAAACATTTTAACAGAGTACTGGCCAAGCTGTTTTGAATTCCACAATAATCCCAGGCCAGCAGAAGCAATTAGGGCAGACATGTCAAACACAATGCCCGGGGGCTGAATGCGGCCTGCGACGTGGTTTCATGTGGCCCGTGAAGCCATCCTGGAAACAGTGAGGGAATGGCCCCCGCTGCTTTGGCCCTGGCCCAGGCCGGCTGGGAGCCAATGTACAATTTTGTAGTGGCCATCTATGCTGAAACGCATTTAGTCTTAACTCCACAAGGCCATCTGGAAACAGCAAGGAACCAGCTCCTGCCGTGTCGGCCCCGCCCCCTGCATGCATGCTGGGGAGGTGTCACCCTTTGTGAGGAATGAAGAAATGCACCATGGCCTGGAAGTGGCTAGCAAATGGCCCTCACCTACTTCACATATCCGGCTTGATGGGCTCCGGGAGAGGGGTTTTGGCAGGCTCTTCCAGTGGACCATGCCTTGGCACTTGCCCTGGTCCTACCCCCTTCTGCCAGAGACCCTCAGATCTCTCCCATTCCTGCCCAGGCCCCCACAGCTCAGCTCAAATTTTCAGCCAAATTGCTTTTGGCTGAACTGCAAAATTTCAAAACATAGATGGAGGTTGAATGTCTGAACTGCTTTCTAAAAAATCCTCGCCTCAGTTGTAAAAATGAGTATGTGAAAACATTATTCTAAAGCTTTTTCTGACATCATACTCTAGTGTATGTGTCCAGGTACATTCTATATTGTGCTAACAAAGATGCATGTGAGACCTTTACAAAATTAGAACAAGATTATGAAACTCATAAGGAAACTCACTATTAGAAGAAGAAAAGGATCAGATCCTTCTAAATACTCACTGACCAAAACCATTCTAAACTCTATTGGCAGAGGGTTTCCTGTCAGATTATCTTCACTTGAACAAATGTCACTGAGTAGAAATAATGAATATAAATGTTTGAAGAACCAGCAACATTCTTAGTATCACATAGGTCAGTGATACCTTTTTAATGCCATGATCCCCAACCGGTTGCAAGTCGAGGACTACTCAACTGGTCGTAACTCGAGAACTACTCATCTGGTGCAGCACCGTTTGCAGAATGGGACTTTTGGCGGGCTCAGCAGGGCAGAGACAGCCTGGACAATTCCTATTGGCTTTTGAAAGCCAATAGAATTAGACTCTATTCAAGAGAGTCTATTCTATTGGCTTTCAAAAGCCAATAGAATAAAAGGGAGTAGCACAGCTAAGGAAAAGGGGAAAAAAATGGCGGACTGTGTTATTTGGCAACCCCCGTGAAATGGTCGTTGGACCCCAAATGGGGTCCCGACCCACAGGTTGAGAACCACTGACATAGGTAATCATATGTGTGTGGTACATATTCCCAAGTTACTTTTACTTTGGGTCCTACTCCTCGCTCTTTAAACGAAACAGCTTGGTTTACAATTTGAATTGGCATTCTTTCACTTGGGGATCATTCAATAAATGCATCTGGAGAATTTCTGTGGCTACTCAGCTTTAGAGGCAAATAGTTTACCCAAGCAGTGGAAACACAAATGGAGGAAACCTTAAGCATCAACAAATTAAATAAGTGTTCTGACAATCCTTTTCGTTCATCCTTGCTGCCCCTTCACTTCAACATACCCTATATTAGCCTAGAGTACAGGCAAATAACTTGTTGTAATCCTCACATGTTGTAATCCAACAGTTCCAGCAAGCATGCACCATACTGAGTGATGCAGGCAGCTAGAGCCAAATACCTGGAAGATAGTGAGTTGATGACCCCTATCAAAGTGAAATTACCTCTGGCTATTTCAGAAGAAACAACCATCTTTTTTAAACATAAAAAGTAGTCTCAGGAAAACCACCATCCCTCCTACTTAATGGACTGGCCTTACCCACTTCTTTCACTCCCCTTTTATTCCTTCCGAACTATCAATTTCAATCAATTCCACCCAGCAATTAATTCCAGGACCTCTGCGTGTTAAAAAATAAACAAATTCTACCACAAATAAATAAGAATGGCTGATGGAGCGAGCAGGAACTACCAGCCTGGTGAACCGAGACCAAATCCTGGATGGAAAGGCGAAACGAAGCGCCACGCAACTACGGTATGATGACAAGGGCACCCATCTCGCCAAATGGCAACGAGGTGAACGACAGAATATCTGAATTAGCCGGGGCGGGGGAGGCGGAACGGGTTATATTCGGAAGGAAGGCACGGACCTTCAGGCCCTGGCAGGCGAGCAAGTTTTAGGAAGGCGAAATAGGCCAGGAAGCGCAAAGTGAAAAATCTCAGCTGGACGGGCATCTGACCAGGACAAAAAGGAGGGGGAAAGGCAGAAGGACGCAGAAACGGAGCACTCGCTCACTTCTTCCTTCTTTACCGATTTTGAGATCACATCCCCCCTCCGCGCTCAATTGCTTACCAAGGTAGCGGGCCGATTCCGGCCACCTTTCCTGCGGGCTCGAGTTCTGTACGCCTTGCAACCCGCCATGCCGGGCCCAGCAGCGGCGGCACTGGCCCTCACCGGCCTCTAGGGCAGGGGTCGATCGCCAATCACACAGCAAGGCGGATCTTCTAACGACCAATGGGGGAAGGCGAGGGGCACTCTTCACGGTAAGCCCCACGATTGCGGGAGAGCGGTGGGATTCACGCTGCCCAATCAGACACAAGAAGGGCTCTCACCCACTCTAGCGTACCAAGAAGGCGCGCAGCTGTCCAATCAATAGAGACAAGAAGCGGAGGGGGGTACAAGACGTCCAATCAGTTCGGCCACATTTTCTCTCCCCCCCCCGCGCCGCTCACTTCAATCTTGGACGGGGCACTAAACGGCTTTTTCAGCCAATTGCGATATAGTGTAGGAGGGCGGCTGTTCCCGGCAGAGTTTGGAACGGCCAGGAGGGCAATAAGTAGGGATAGGAATCTCAGATCTCATCCCATCTGCAGTAACGGAAATTGCTACCGCTGCTACCCTCTAAAGGCAAACATATCGTTCCAATGCGGTATCTAATGTAGATTTGTGGCATATAGCGAGGCGCCGTTGGCATGTCTCCATTTTCAAGATCAAATTAAGCTTTGCGAAAAGTAACTTTGGGGTCTTTGGAACTCTTGAGCTTCGTTTTCTTTCAGATGTTTGATTACCCAATTAGGTAACATCTTCAGTGTATGGTGTTACATTTCAAGTAATATCAATAGTAACTTTATTAAAACAATGGGCTTATCCATGTTTAACAACCATGGTTTAAGCAGTTAACCATTCCATCTGGATTTTGCTACTTAAACTGTAATTTTTAGTTTAGTATTCTCTGCAAACTCAGCCAGTACACTCTGAGGATCCATCCAGAAGATTTGATTGCTCATATATAAGAAGGATGTTGTGCAAATACTGCCATCAGACAAGGTTTCCCTCAGGGATAGGAGCCCCCCCCCCCGAAAACTCCATTGCAGACCTGCAAAACAGTACAGAAGCACTCTTAAGCAAGTCATTCTAGCAGGAGGAGCTAGAATACCTTTCCAGTATAGAAAACCAAGCCAAGGACTGGAAGAATAAGTGTGGGTCTGGGCTAGTACATTCCTATAATAGTGGCTGGGCCGAGGGATAATGCAGCCCTCCCAGTGGAATGATTGAATGGATGAGAGAATGGCGTTTCTGACAAAGAGAATCAGGAGTGCAATGGCTTGCTTGCAGATAATGTATTTCAGGATTAGAGCAACCACTGGTGACAAATGGGTCTGGAAAGAGCAGCTCTCTGGATCACTGATGCCATATATACCACACTCATAAATCAATTTAAAGAAATATCAGCACCTTAACTGTAGTTTTTAACATCCGCCACCTTCTTGGCTTACCAGATTGAATAATCCGATGGTCACATCTTTGAAAAGACATTGTCAGGGTCTGACAGATTTACTATTTAATAGTAAGCATATGCATTTTTCCTTTCTTTAATATGCCTCGCACATTAGATATGCTGAACCTTTTTTTCCCTCTGACGTAGTTCATCCTTTAAGAGACTTCAAAAACAGAGCAGAAAATGTACGTACTGTATTATCTATGACGGAATACACAAAGTCATGTTAGAGCAATGGTTTAAAGTAACGTAACGGAAAAGGCAATATAAGCGTGATTCAAGTCCCTTTCTTTAGCATCCATTCTATCCACTTTATCCGGGGTTTGCATTGATTTCCTGGACTCGGATCCTATTACCGAACGTTCCGTGTGCCGTGATTTCTTGACACCTTCTCATTTTTTTTCCCCCAGGGGCGGCTTCCTCCGTAGTTTTTGCAGGTCCCGCTTCAAACGAGCCAGGCCCAGGATTCAGGCGCGTCGTTTCCCGTCTCGTATAAATGGCTGCATTCTCTGCGATTCTTCCAAATCTGCTGGCGTTCCCGCAGCGCTTCCCTGGTACTAATCTGCTACACGAGGTCATTGTTGATCGACCGGATCTGGAAAAGCAAGCTCCCTGAAGAAAGCAGCACGGCTGAGTTAAGGCGGCGCCGAGACATCGTAGCGGAACTTCGGTTGAGGAGAGCTCGCAGGCTCTTAGTCCTCTCGGAGTAAAACCGGTTCCGCTATCGCAGCCGGAACATACACAAAAATGAAAAGAAAATGCAAAAGGGAAGTTTGCAGAGGCAATCCTTTTCATTCCCTCTGATCATGTAGCAACATTTTTTTCCTTTTCAAAGCAAAAGATTGCCAGCTGCCGGGGTCAGCAATTCAACTCTATAGGAAGAAAAAGGCTGCCTTTGACGTTAAGATAGGAAAATTGGGACCGCCTCAAAAATTTTGATTAGGGTTAGGAATCTACCTGGATTCAAACCGGAGACGGGTGTGGGTATCTCGTGTTGGCACCTTCTTGGAAAAAACTGCATCTTAAAAAAGATATATTTGATTATCATTTGTGAGCCGAGCCATTGTGTTGATTCAGCAAACTAAGATTAACCCTGACAAAATGCATGTATAAGCCAAATCATTTATGAGGTTGGAGTGAATCTCACTAGAGTGTCTGTGTAAAAGCGCCTTTATGGATTCATATAATTTTTGCCCCACAACTCAAAAGGTCAGTTCTTGTCCATGAAACTGTGTCAGAAGAATGAGGACACTCTATAGCAGACATGTCAAACACAAAGCCTGGGGGGGCGGATGCGGTCCATGAAGTGGTTTCATGTGGCCCGCAAAGCCATCCTGGAAACAGTGAGGGAACGGCCACTGTTGCCTTGGCCCTGGCCCAGGCTGGCCGGGAGCCAATGTACAATTTTGTGGTGGCCATCTATGCTGAAACGCATTCAGTCTTAGCTCCATAAGCCCCCCCCCCCACATGGCCTGAGAGGAAGAGTGAGGCTTCTCCAGTGGACCATGCCTTGGCACTTGCCCTAATCCCACTCCCTTCTGCCAGAAACCCTCAGATCTATCCCACTCCTGCCCAGGCCCCCACAGGCACCCTTGATGCGAACGATGTAGAGCTGGCCATGCCCACCCACTAGGCCACACCCACTCCATCCATGCACCCACCCTGGCCATACCCACCCGGCCCCCTGAGGGCAACTGCAATGCTGATGTGACCCTCAATGAAATTGAGTTTGACACCCCTGCTCTAGAGGCAACAGCGTGGCTCATACATTTTCAAGTAATCAGTGAAATATATATTACCACTAAGGAGGAAGACCTCTGTAAGGTGGTTCCATTCAGATTCTAAAACAGCTTCCCAAGATATTCTGCTAATATATTTGACCACACTCAATGGGAACTGTAATTTCTACATACATGTAGTACTTGACTTATAGCAGTTCATTTAGTAACCGTTCAAAGTTACAACAGCACTGAAAAAAAGTAACTTTTGACCATTTTTCACAAGTACAACCTTTGTAGCATCCCCGTGACCATGTGATCAAAATCCAGATGCTTGCCAATTGGTTCATATTTATGAACATTGCTGGGTCACAAGATCATGCGATCACCTTTTGCAACTTTTTGACAAGCACAGTCGATGGGGAAGCCAGATTCACTTATCAACTGGATTACTGACTTATCAACTGCAATAAGTCACTTAACAACTGTGGCAAGAAAGGTTGTAAAATTGGGCAAAACTCATTTAAGAAATGTCTCACTTAACAACTGAAATTTTGGGCTCAATTGTGGTCGTAAGTTGAGGACTGCCTATATGTGGAAGACACCGGGGGATAGAAAAGCTAGAAGTGGTTAGTTTAGCCTTCTGACTACAACACTAATGGTCTTGTTTCTGTAAGAATTTCCAGCATACCCTCTTTTGCCCTCTTCAGTGGCCTGGAAAAGTGCACTGCTTGGCTCAGCATGTTGCAATATTTCTTGCACTAATTGTGCAATGGCCGTTTTGAATCTCTATTTTTAGTAACACCAAATAGAAGTAGAGACAAGAAGGGCATCGTGTTTTGTAGTATCACCATGTGATCTGTCAAATGCTGTTTATTGTAAAACAAAGTAATATTTTTAGAGTACCTATCAAAATTACCAGCTGTGTATAAACAAGTATCAGGAGATAAGTATCACAAAGGTAGGCACAATTTGAGCAAAATAAATGGATAATCAATGTACAGAAAATTGTGTCCCTCCCAAGAAGATAAAAGCACAAAGACAATAGAGAAAATGATTCAGTGGAATCAACAGGATGGAGACTGATGAACAAAGTTTAAACTGAGTACATGAAGAAACTAACCAGGGATGTCTACTGGTTATGGTAAAAAAAAACAGTCAAGATGATAACCTGGCTTTTCTATGTGTCAAAAATAACCCACCAGCTAAACTACAATTGTGCCACCGTTGTGGCCACCATGACTTTTCTTTAACTATATCCTGTGGACATCACTGAAAACATGAGTCATAAAATTCAAAAAGTTCAAAATAAGCTATAATACTTTTAACAGACCAGATTTTAGCTGAAGAATATGGATCAAAAGCAGAAGTCGCAAGAGATTCAGCTAAAAGATAAAGCAGGGGGATATTATAATTACAAAGAATAGAGATTATATCAGCTAGAACGTTGAAAAAGTTCACATCCCTTTCATTTTGTGCAATACCACAGAATATGCTGAAGTGTTCCTCAACTTACTAGAAGTGTGCAGTTCTGCAAGGCTGATATCAAAAAATAGCTATCAGTCAGAACTTCTCTTTTGTTCTGATTTTGTCTGGTATCCTTACATATTTGCAATAATGGCAAACCTCCACCCTTATCCTTACATATTCTCTGAAAATTTCCTGGGATTGAATAAACCCAGCAAGGCTGCAGCAGAAAAAATTCTTAAGAGGACTTGTGCCAAAGGTGCTTTTTCAAGAGGTAACTGGACTTTACTGTTTTTCTTTGAAGACATTTCATTTCTCATGCAAGAAGCGAAACATCTTCAAAGAAAAATAAGAAAGTCCAGTTGCCTCTTGAAAAAGCACATTTAGGACAACCATAACCTGGATGACTGAGAATCTCCATACATAGACATTTAACAGAACTTGCTTCATAATAAATATGGATAAGATCACAGAATAAATGGCAACCAACATTAGACATTATAAAAAAGAAATAGAGACTCCAAGAGAATTAAAACATAAAATATTAAATGGCAGAATTAAATCATAGTGATAATAGCAGTTTTAAAAATAGATTTAAAAGCAACAGGCCACAGCAAAGACATAGATAATTGAAGCAGATGTTTTAAAAAGCCAAAAGCTGGGGTATGACAAAGCTAATAAAAGGCATTCTTGCTTGCCATTAATTTGGGCATTT